TACACAGCTGGTTTGTTTCCCAAAATAAACCTTGCTTTGTATTTTACAAAATATCTTAGACGGAGAAAGGTGGGGAGTTTTGACATTTAACTTACTGTACTCACTGAAAAATCTCTTTCTCTGCTTTGCTTTGGATTTTGTTTGCTTATTTTTTTAAGTCAGGTTCTTCAGCTGAAATCTCTTTGATAGCTACACATCTAAAGATTGATCCAGCTCAGGAATCAAAGAAATAGCACACAGAAATTCACACATATTTTTTCCTATTTCCAGGGTCCAAAGAAATACAGACTGTAGGAAGTTTTACCCAAAGGACTGCAAAAGACAATATATTCCAGAAGCTGCAATTCAAGAGATGAGTAGACAAAGAAGTATGCAACTTCTTAGACAACAACTCCAGATACTGTCAACTATTATGAAACAAATCAGCTAAAGGCCTCCTCATTTTCGTGACGTATATGTGACATATCCAGCTTCAAGACATAAGCATAGCAACATTTCATTGCCCGCCTGTGAAATCTGATTGAACTGAAGAATCCATATGTTACTAATGCAATACTGCAAGTGTTGATATATTTTTTTCTTTTTTTTCCCCCTCACAATATAATTATTGAGATTCAAAGAAAACTTCTTAGCCATGGTACATACTGGTAAATGACCTCTCACCCTGATATCAGACAATCTTCTGTACACACAGCCCAAAACACCACAAAAAAATAACCCCAGTAATTATCACATCCTGATGCTTCACTGCCATGTGTTACCCTTGCTTCTGACTGTTTACAATCAGCAGGCAATTCTTTGACAGCATTCTAGCATTTTGTGAGAAAACTGTTCTCCAGTGCTTTACAAAGTCTATAAATACACATGCAGCTACCACAAAAATACTTATGTCTCTGAGCTCCAGCCTATGCAATGTCCTTCTAATCTACCAGACTCATATTCCCCATTCATTGTGTACCAGCTCAGTCAGTAGCTTTCACGAGCCAGGGTATGGGGTGCAATTGTTTTGAATCCCTTTTGGAGGTGATGCTCCACCAAAGCTTTTGGAAAAATACTTCACTTTCCTAAACTTGCCCCTAGCTGGGAAGCCACTGCTTTAAAACCTTCTGCCAATTCCTGCTCATTGCCCAAAGTTATAATTTATACAGACGGATACTGTAATGAACTCCCTTAGCTGAAATTTCTGCCGCCATCCCAGAGCTGGTTGGTATGTATTTCTTAGGCTCACGCACAGGACTCTACCACATGCAGGTAGGTGTTCAAGGATTGCCTGCAATTTCTAGGCACTTAATCATCTGTTTACTCCTGCCCTTGATATCATAGATTGCCCATCCTATCTCATTCTCACCACTTCATCGGTGGCAGCAGTGACTTAACATACCACAAATACAGAATAATGGTGAACCCTGCCTACAAAACCAACATTAACACTCCACTGATGTGCAGCTCCCTCAGAGAGAGGGAAAAGCAGCTCAAGGAACAATGGGATTTTTTTATTTAACATTGCAAAAATATGAGATGGAGACAACACCACTGGATGGAAGATCTGGGCATTTGAGGCCATTCTGCCAACAACTCTCACACTGAGAGTACTGTGTTTGCATTCCTTACTGCATGCCAAAATGTCTCTCAGAAGCCTTTAGAAAGGATCCCAGTCAAGGATGCACCTGAGTTCAAGCCAACAGTTTTACATACAGTTAAGAATGCGGATCTCCAGCTCAGCCATCAGGCACACGCATGCTGGAAGCACACAGCAATGTCAGCAAAAATTCTAATTTAAAAAACTTTCTAGCACAGGTATCACAACTGTGTTAAGTATGATCACAGATGATGACGATCACAGAGATCATTGATTTCAGCCCTGGCCAGCTAAACACAAAACAAACAAACAATTGATCAGAAGATAGAATCTGATCTTAAATAGAAAACAACAAAAATTCTGTAAGAAGCATCAAGCTTCTTAGAATGGATGGAAGGAGGAATTACTTGACAGTATTTCTGGATATCAATTTGCAGTTTAACTTCATGAAGAAAAGGCAGCCCTTCAACTGTTACAATGATTTCTCATTTCAGGCAAAGCAACTGGCAAGAGGTAATTCTTCTTAGCAGCATGTTGAATTATGTATTTGTACATAAGCCTTAAATGTGTATTTTAATTTCACCTGAGTAAATTATCAACATAAATCCTACCCTTCTCAAATATCGCTGAATTTTTAATTTAACTAATATCATCATTTCCACCAGGCAGTCAGGAACGATGAGTAACATATGATTCATATTCAGAAGTAAATGCACCTGCTTTTCAACAACATTGCTAATTACTGGTTCATTTTACCCTTTACATGATGTCAAAGCCAATTTGGGTCATACTGTTTTTATCCCGTGATGAGTCCTTTTGGCTCACAAATAATGTATAAGGAATTGCAGTGTTGTCGGTTTGAAGGACGTTTTTAAATACACTGTGGCGAATAGAATACATTACCAAAACACATCATTTTACTTGTGAGATGCATCAGTTCACCATGAGCTTCCATCAGACAAGATTTTACCAGGAACATTTAAGCTTTGATTCAAAGTGATGTCCCACCATTTCACCGTCTTTGGTCTATGTCATAATGATTGAGGGAGTGCTACCATATGTTAAATAGAACAAAGTGCTTATTTCTAACATTATAGACAACAGGAAAAAAAACCCAAACAAACATGGTTTTTGAATACTTTAGATGTCCTCTAAAAACACTGCAGTAAACTGCAGTGCGACTACGAGGGAGGTGTTACTGAACTGCTTCCTTTTCCTGACAGCACTACATCTTTGAGAAGTAAGCAGGTAAGCAAAGGGAAGCCTGCTTCAAAGATTGTTCTGCAGCTTTCTACCCTGAACATTTAGTTTTTCCACAACACGTACCTTCCGATAGCTGAAGTTGCTCTCATATAGATCTGATATGCATTTAGCCACTGAAATATGTATATGACATAAGGTACGTACGCTGAAGTTTTCAAACCCCCTAACACAACTCAAATGTGACTTCTCATGTGCAATGCTGCAGTCATTCTCAAACCAGTTTGCACATGAGTTTTCTCAAAGTTACCATCATTAGCTTGACTTGTAGCATATTGGTAAATCCTATACATCTCCAAGGAAAAAAAAAACTTCCTTCTGGTTCAAGTCGTACAAATTTTATACACAGAAGCTAACTCCTTCTGGCATCTACCTCTAAATTTCTTGATAATGGGAGTACCATGCCTGCCATGTTACCTTTACTTGGTGTGCTAACTTTTATTTTAGATCAAAACAATACAAAAGACATGAAAAACATAGGAGTCAACAACAGTTATGTCATCTATTTATCAATTTTAAACCACTGCTTCAACAGTTTAAGAACTTCGTGTTCTAGTTTTGAAAGTCCCTTTTCAGCTATAAGAAAAAAGATAGCTTTAAGATTCATGGGTGAAAGAAACACAGACAGTTGAGCTGAGAGCTGCCCTAAAGCCACCGGATCCCTGGGTATGCAGAGCACCTTTGGGCAATGCAGGTACTGGTTTTGCAGTACTATATTTTCACATACGTAGGACGTATCTCTGATATCCTGCAATCCGCTGAAAGTACAGTTTTCTCTGAATAATGGACATTTTGGAAAGGAAAGAGCTCACTATACATGGGAGAGGGTAACTAGCAGGATTAGAGGTTGGAGAGCTATGGTAGGAGTGGCTCTAAGGCAGGTACTTCTTGTATTACTTCCCCATGTGTATTGCTGGCACCTACTGCTGAATGTCAAGGGGCTTGGAAGCTCATTTTGATTTACAACGAATAACCCAAAGACTACCAGAAAAAAGAATGCAGTAAATTTATTTAAGATGATATGAAAATATTCATGTCCTAGTTCATTCCCAAATAATTAGAACAATGCTGACAACTAGAAACTATGGGATTTCAGTAAGCAGTGATCTGAATGCATCCATAAAAAGCTCTAGCAGTTTCCAGAAGCTACTCAAAGCAGATTTGTTGACAACTGGGCTTAAATTACTATGTATTATAACAGAACAGTCATGTATTAATCAGGCACTGCTACGCACGAATTACTGAACAATATCTGGGTAACAAGTGGTTCCAGTGATTTAACTTATCCTTTAACAGTTATCTCTTTGGTTTCTTTTTCTTTTCTTCTTCCTTAAAAACACATCATCAATTATAATCTCATCCATATTAGCATCATGCAACCTGCATTAACATTCCACTTTATTTCAACCAGGAAAGGCAAGTGCAAAAGCTTTATTAATAAACAAGAAATGCAAAAAAACCTTATCATTTAAGTGAAATACAATCTCAATAAATATTAACCAAAATAAAATCCCAAATCTATTGCATAAAGAATCTAATAAGAGTCCTACATGGAATTCTGTACGATCCCTTCCTTCTCAGTTAAGGTAGACAAGGAACCAGATCTTTGCGAAACAAACCGAAAGATGGGCCTATGACAGACTGCCAGAAGCAAATCTTGGAATGCAAAAAAATCTGTGAAAAGGCAGGATCAATTCACTACTACTAAGATATATTTTAATAGGCTATGATTCTATGAAAATTGGTGGCCTTGGTGACCTAGAAACAAATAAAATCTTAAGAATTCAATAACTAAGTGAAAAGCAAGCATCCAAATAATTTGTGGTCTAATTTGCGCAACAGATTCAGAAAAAGCACAAGGAAACCTTGAGTTTGCAGCACAGGAAATAAGTGGAGTAAATATTTTTCATTTGCCATTCCCTCTAATTAACTAAAAGTGTCCACTGGAAGCAAAAGTAGATACATCCCCAATTGTCTAAAACTTGCCATGTTTAATTTAAGATTAGCTTTCAGTTAGCAAAAAGGCATCTATGGAACAGTCATATCTTCAATGAAGACAAAATATCAAGCAGAATGAATTAATAGAAATTAATTATTTCTTAATTCAGCATATCATATATCTCATTACCAAAGAAAAATGTATGTTTCAGTAAAGCTTTACCTTTCTCACAATGACTTCCTGTGAATCCAGAAGGGCAGACACATTTGTTTGGGGCTACACAAGTTCCACCATATCTGCACCCTTCTTCACAGAATGCTGAAAAAATAAAAGGGATATGTGATTACTCCTTTAAAAAAAATATATATTATACATTTGCAAGATACTAAGAAAAACATCCACATGCTAAGCAGTTAATAGAATCCAACATATTAAAATTCAGTCCACCTGCAAACACAAAGAGAACTCACTTAAATGACATGAGGACAAATCTCAGATTACACCATAGGCAAATCACCTCACCAATAAAAGATTAATAACCATCTGGAAGAAGAAGAGAGGGGAAAATACAACGTACAATTTTAATGAGTCTGATCTTTCAATTATACACAATAGGAGTATTACAATTACAATGCTCGAGTGATCCACAGAAAACAGGCTGATCAGATAGTGTTAACTACTTTGTTTCTCACTTCCTTCAAATACACTTTACTGAAATGTCTGTGAACACATCATATTTTCCTATTTTTTATTTTTAAGTGTAAAGTACATTTTGTGGAAGCAAGAAATTAAATAGAGGGAGACTCATGACTGAAAACAGAGAAGGGCTCAATCACAAGACAATGCCTCTACTGAGGTGTGATTCTTGACAAAGGAAAGCACAAGCATTTTAGAAGTGCATTTGTCCGGTAACTAGGATTTGAAACAAACGACGGATCTCGCATCTTTTCTTGCGAGCACTGTGCAGTGGTCCTCTCACTTATAGCAGGTTTAGCATGAAGCCTACTAACTGTGCAAGAAGGATGCTTGCAGTTTAACATTATTCTTTTTTCTTTCTTTTTTGCTATGCATGTACAAGGAGGGTAATTGAGGCAAGAAGAGGAAACTGCAAGCATCAGGACATGATCTATTTTGCACTGTTAACTCCAGTAAGACCTTTGCTAAGACGAAGAGCAGGCCTTACCCACAACACACTTCCCACCATCTCCTAGATATTTATTGAACTTCACAAGTTACTCAGTGGATTTGACTGCACTTATGAGGGAAGTTACAATTAATATTTAAACAGCAGCTCTCTGCATCTAAGCTAATAACAGAATTGCAAAGTGTTTCCTGTAAGCTAAAATCACAGATGGAGTGTTGGCAAAGAGATGTTACAAATGCTATGAAAAGGCTTAAAGTGCTAGAAAACAGAAGAAATGTTTTAGATTTATTTTCCAATGCACTAAAAAGGAAAATAAAGTGAATAAAGTACTAAGCATTAAAAAGAATCTTTTGTAATTGTTAACTACTTACAGGCAAAAGAGCACATCATCATATCTCTTGATTGAATCAATAGATGGATCTGCCTTACTCTAAATATCTAATTTATAGGATGTCATACTGTTTTATGGAGGATAACATGGGGAGAAGAACGTTAAAGTGGTTGAGAGAAGATGGTAGTAGAATATCATGAACGGCCCTGCAACTGGCGCAAGGCTGTGGTGTGGAGAAAGCACACTTGCCCAGTAACACTTGCTGCTCAGCAGCGCACACACCCCATATGGGAATCTTCTGAAATACAGCTCTTTTGAAACCAGTCAATTTCTACTTTATGAGAAAAAGAGAACTACAGTTTAAGAGTAGCATTTTGTGCTTTTTTGCATATAAATATTTGCAGAAAAGTATAACTGTGCAGAAAGCTGAAAGTGCTAGTATGAAATACAGCTGGAAAATAAATGAAAAGCATCATGAGACTCAACAGATTCCCTCCGCAGCTCTTGAAAGAATGTTTGCTCATTTCTACTCTCAGCATTCTCAGAAAAGATGCAAGTTAAAGCCTACATCTACATTTGTTCTGGTTTGAAATTGAGAGTAAGCAGAGACTTTTGTGAAGTAGCAATACATTTCTGCTTGACATCAGAAGAATTAGAGTTTCTGGCAGAGCATATATTAAGGGCAAAAAAAGAAAAACATTGGCAAAAAAGTGAATAGTTCATTGACAGTATGTGACCTATTGCACTGGGAAAGAACACAGGGGTCTTAAAATTGAAGTCATAAGGGGCATTAAAAAAAAAGTTTGTTTTCTGTAGAAATTATGCATGTCCATTCAAGGTCATTAGAGCTGGTGGGGATAGGCAGGTAAGAGATCTTCAGTCAGATCTCTCACACACTTTCTTTGCCACCATAACTGATGTCGTCAACTTACTAATGTGAAATGTGTGCTTCTTAAAATAAGTTATATTCCTAGGTCTGCACTAAGGTGGTGTTTTCTTCTTTTCTCCTTTAAGATTATTAACAGCAAAATGCTTATAAGACAGGGCTGGTCATTTAAAAAATATTCCCATTAGGGAAAAAACTGTGTTATGCCAGTGCAGTAGCCAAGTCTTGACATCTACAGGCAGAGCCAAGCATGCTGTTCACATCTGGGAGAGAAAGATGGGGATGCCTGCAATGGGTCAAAAATCTCACTATATCCTATTCCTTTCTACCTATCCATATCAAAACACAGCTCCTGCATGCATACCCAAATGTGCTAGCACTTGTCAAGCATTTTGAAATTCCTCTGTCCTTTAGGTGTCACATTTTAACAGTTTAAAATTCCAATATCTGTACAGGGATACCTTGAAGAATTGCTGTACTGCAGATTGCTGTAAGAAGGGATTCTGCACTGCACAATGCATGAGAAGGCACTATCTTGTTATATGGATGCTGGAGGGAGGATGGAGTTGGGAAAGCAGCTGGGCAATGGCTGCAGAAGGAAAGAATTCAACTCCCCTTTTCAATTTTTGTAGAAGCTGAAAATCCTCTGCAATACAGACTACTTGTGCTTGTCTTTGTTGCTACGGCTTTGGTGGATTTGAAGGCCGTGATTCATTCTTATATTTTTATGCAAGAGAAGAAAACCCCATAGAAGAGTGCCAGAATTATCCTGCTGCTCCCCAGATGGTTCTTCTAAAAAACCTCTAATCCCTGCATTGTAAGCTTGCAGGAAGTGAGAGCATCAAAACCACACATCTCAGAATGTAGTTACAAAATCAAAATGTTTGTCTAAAGGCTACTTTCCTTAACTGCTAGAAAAAGAGCTCACATTATGATATGTAGTACTGATAGCACTACTCTGAATTTTAAGAATGCTCAATACCTCTAATAATAGGAAGTCAGTTTCAATTGCTAGCAATTTTACCAAACTTCACTTATTTGAACTATTTTCTCTAATAGTTCTTGCCTCTGCCTTTTAGAACATTTTATCAAAATTCATTCATTTCCAACAAGAGATTTCTTCCTTCGTACCCTTAGCAGAACAGATTAATTAAGGAAAAAATTTACATCACTTCTGTACCTATGCCTTGTAGACAAGAGGACCCAACAGGGAGTAGCTCAGTGACTGAATGGAAAATCAACTGGGGTGCCCATGCTCTCATGAAAGTACCCACTTTGGTGCTTATGCTTTGTTATATGTCTTATGGGCTGTGGGATCTAAGACTTTCACCATGGTTTAGACCCTTCAAAATCAAAACTCTGTTTTGGGGGAGACAGCAAGATGTGACACTCACCAGTACCACAGAACTAGCAGTTAAAAACCTCGATCACATAATCCCTCCTATTCAAAGAAAGTTAACACAAGAAAGATACATCATGGCTGGATTGTATTTTGCTAATGTATTCCCATAAATAGAACCTGCCTCTGAAGTTACTTGCAGGCTGGCAACCGTGTTAAAAAGGAGAATGGTTACTGAATTTGCAATAGAGGTTTTATTTTAAAAAATACAAAATAATAAAAGCCTTTTTCATACAAAGAACTTTCCCAAATAGACAATTTCTTTGCTGTGGAGGAGTTTTATTTTTTTTATGCACATACTCTTTGACAATAGATCTGTAGAGAATGGAAACAGCCAAAATGATAATTCTCCTGGATACGCCATTTCTGTGATCATGTTGGAGAGACAGGAGAGTCTCACTGGAGAGCTCCACAAATCACAGCATGAAAGTACCCACAAATTTGTTACCATGCTTGTGGACATGCACAAGCTGCTTATGGGGTACAGGTTCTTTTCCTTTGCCCAGTTAAATTTAATTATCTCTTCTCCCAAGGAGGCCATTAAAGACATCCTCAGGAAGGACGGAAGTTCATAAGTTTCCTTTTCTTCTACTCTAGACGTAGGCAATAATGTGAACAAAGCCCATGTAAGGGAGACATGCTAACAGCAACTACAAATATTCTGTGCTGTCTGTTACTGAAAACTGTAGTCTCTCTTTAGCCCCTCTGCTTACAAGATTCAGGGAAAGCTGGACAGTTTGGGTTCCAGCCTCTTTTCCTAGAGAGCTGAAGAAATTGCCTTGATTATTCTAACTTTTTGTATGGCAGCACAGTACAGTACAGTGCTGCTATAAGAAAGCAGGTACTACAGCTTGGAACCCTCATGTTGAACAAATACCTCTTACTTCCAAGTGTAACACAGTAATTATTATAAAATATGATAAAAACATTTATATTTAACAATATATACAAATATTTCCATTAAAAGAAAAACAAAAACTTGATGTTGCCCTGGTACAGCATAATCCTCACTTTTACAGCTAAACATCACCCACTGCAATGTTACCCTAGACATATAAAATGACCAACTGTAATTGAACCATAGGTATAATAGACTATTACTCCCTCCTTTTTCCTTTATCCTATCTGCCCATTACTTTTCAAAAAAAGAAAATCAATTAAAATGAAAGCACCTCATTTGTTTAGGGTTCACTGTCTCCCATCTGAGAATAAGTGAAGTGTCAGAGTATGTGCTTATATCGGCCAAACCCACACCTACTCCTGTATTGCGTTCAATTTATCACAGGTAAAGCCAACCACTAGCCTGTTTCTGTCAGCACGGTACTCCACAGCTTGTCAGGGCAATGGCAGAGTGCAGAGCAGCCATTAGCCTGTTCTGCAGTGGCATCTGCAATGCAGCTCAAGGTGAGACCGTGTCCTTCAGACAGCGTATAAGACAGCAGTGATGTAACCCGCAGCCTTTCTGCATTTTGGCTCAAAGCACTGGGTGCTCCCATTCATCCCAAACTAGCTGGTAGCTGCCCTCGCATACAGGTGTCAGCTTCAGTGGGTGTTAAGT